GGGATTTAGAGTGCGGGGGTGCTGCGGGGTTTGGGGGTTGGGGTAAGGGGGGGTGGGTCAGTGGCTGCACTCGTCCGCGCCACCGCTTCTCTCTCTCTCTCTCTCCCTCTCTCTCTCTCTCTCTCTTTGTCTCTCCAATGCACACCCACGCGGCAGCGCCCTTTCTCTCTCTCTCTCTCTCTCTCTCTCTCTCTCTCTCTCTCTCTCTCTCTCTCTCTCTCTCTCTCTCTGTAGTGTGCGCGAGCGCCCACGTGGCAGCACTCTCTCTCTCTCCCCCTCCGCCCCCCTCCCCCGTTTCAACCCCAATGCGCATTCGCACTCAGCGCGCTGTGAGCGGGAACTTGAACAGAGCTCAATTCTTGAGAGTGAGCCCGTGCTCAATCTGGGAGCGGTTCCAGCTCCCCCTCAACCTTCGACATGTCGTTGTCGTCCTTTCCCTCATCCTGTCTACCCTCCTCCTCCACCACCACCTGTTGTTCCTCCTGATGTGTGTTTGTGTGTGTCACCCTTTCCACCTTGTCTTCGCTCACTCCTTCCGCCCTTTCGTTCTCTTTGTCAAGCTTCTTGTCAGACTCGTCCCACCTGTCCAGACTTGCGTCCTCCACCTTCTCCTTGTTCTCCCTTGAGGTGATACTCTCCCTCCTGTTGTGCGTATAATCCCTGTGACTCCTATCTTCATTCCCTCAGTAATTCATCGATGCACACAGGAAAGAACAGAAAGAGCGATGGTCTCTATACATGCATATACTCTCCATGTCCCTATTCCCGACGATATTTAACATGTGCTTAGTACATTGAACATCACCATCATGCTACGAAAAACTCCGACACCCTTTTTGCTCCGCTGGAAATCTCCGCCGACTGCCTAGCCCTTCCATCTCTTCGTTCTCTTCCCTGTCCTTCTTGTGCCCCCTTTCCTCCCTTGCGTCCTCAGCCTTCTCCTTCTCCTCCACGAAACACAAACACACAAATGGAGATCATACCTTGATCTGCTATGACGATCGCATGTCTGCAAGAAGTGCCCAACCTCGAGCCGGGGCAAGAGAGCTTGAGCACAAGAGGATTGATTACCAGGCAAGACATTATGGACGCCGCAGTTTCCCTTCCAAAATCCCGCCATACGGGCACCTCACAATCCCACCCCATCGATTCCGTCCATTCGAGTCCTAGCCTCGTTCGGAACCCACTTTTCACTTTGCTGGCACTCCATCTTTCTGAATCCCTCGCGGCAGCGACCCCACAGTCATGATGGCTGCGATCACGGCCGCGAAAACGCCACGGCGGCCAGACGGGGGGGGGAGGGGTGGGGGAGGCAGCTTGGGGTGCCCAGCCTGTCTGCGCACCTCTGGCCCCGGGCTGTGGAAGGGAAAAAACAAAAAGAAGGGTTTTTTGGGGGGGGGAGGTCATTTCCTTGATTTTCAAGGGGGTTGAAAACAATATGCCCCCCTCCTTCCTTTTTTGGATTTCAACTTGCGGGGGTGTGTGAGAAGTGTGAAGGTACACCTGCGCTCAAAAAAAAAAAAGAATGTCGACCATGGGGTTTTAGCAGGGCGGGTGAAATTTAAGGGGGAGTTATCAGTGAGTTCACTCGAAGAGGCAAAAAGGGGGGGGTTCATCTCTGTCTCTCTTTCTCTCACGAAGAAGAAGAAGAAGAAGAAGAAGAAGAAGAAGAAGAAGAAGAAGAAGAAACAAAAAAAAGGATTAAGAAAAAGAAAAGATTCTCTCTCTCTCTCTCTCTCTCTCTCTCTCTCTCTCTCTCTCTCTCAGAGGTACCAGATTTAGAAAAAAGCGTTTGGCACAAGAAAACCACTGTGTTTAGAAGGAAAAAAGAAAGAAAACATCCGCTCAGGATGTGAACCTTCCATATCAGAAACAA